TGACTAAAAACTATTTGTGAATGTATAAATTCTGGACCATTACAGCTCATGACTGACTTAAACAGCAAAAGTGGAAGGTGAAAGTATGGTATATATAGGTCACACCCAAGGTTAAAGGCAGACTTAAGAAGATTGTGATATAAAGATCTTTAACATTACTAAGTTGCCCCTAAAGGAGACGCAGCCTCCAAAGTGTCTCATTTGAGTTAAGGAGGAGAAGGACATGATTTTTGCTCTTTGGCCCAAAGGTTTCTTTCTTATGGAGATAAATCTTGGGCTCTATTTACAAAATCAAGGGGGAGAGCAAGAACATGACTTACGGTCAGCACAGCCGTCTGCCAGGAAAAGTTGGAGCAATCATGATTCACCTTGCAGAGGAGCCTTTTGATGCTGGTTTCATTTTTAGCAGGACTTTGTGCCTGCCCACGCCACTAAAACCATCAAGACCCGCTTTAATGACCATGAAAACCTGGTGTGTCACAAACCCATTCAATCCATGTAGTGTTATAGGGACGGAGAGGAGAAACCCCAGAACCAAAACTGAAGATGAGGGCAAGGCTGCTGTCAGAGTAACCTGGGCTTCCTGAACACCTTGTTGGAGCCACAGGCCACCAACTCAGTAATTCATACAGAGGGAGTCCGGATCTGGCATGCATGGCATAAACCCTAAAGTGCACAAACATTATTTTCAGGAGGTCCCCATTTTTCTCATTAGTCTGATGTGATTACATTTTCTCAGGAACTGGACTTGAATTTTTATCAGCTGTAAGACATTCATCCGAACTACCAGAAATTAAATACTTACATGTTTGTGAATAAGAAATCTTGCATTATATTACTTATAATTAATTAATAATTTTTCTACAGCTTTACTTTAAATAATTTGTGGTGATATGCTAATTCATGAGTAGTATATGTGTTAAACTCCACTAATTCAGCTAGCTTAACATGACAGGGACATTGACAGTGAGCCAAACACTGAATATATGCTGCTTTACACAGCTTACTTTTCATTCACCAAAGATATGTTATAAACCCTGTGTGCTATATACCCTGGAACATCTAAAGCCTTATTATTTAAAGGCAGGATGTTATCTATGGACACAGATCTATAACTTGACAGTCTCTGTTGCCATCTTGTGGTTGCACTGCAAGCTAACTCTAAAACATTTCTGTGTATAAATATCTGCACTGGTGCACCCATCTTCTAGACTTAGAGTCAACTTTATTTATCCCTTGGGATAACTCCTTTAGGGAAATTCTGGTCCCAGTAGCGCATATAGAGTACAAAAAGCAAAATGACATTAAATATAAAAATATGACACACTATATAAAAGAGTGTACATTGTACCAAAAAAAGCATTAAAAAGAGTTGTAATTGCCTCGAATATGTTTCCCTTTGTTATAAAAATATCTGCACAGTAGAGAGCTAATGGAAGACTACATAGTAGTTGACTTGGGTTATTGAACTTGCACTGCAGAAATGTACTGACCATTTAAACACTGCAATGGATTTAATGTTTTTTTTACTAATATATTTTGTTTTTCATTTTTAAAATGCTTATTTGTATTGAGTTAATTCCTCTGAGAAGGATCTTTTACTGTAGTTACACCTTCAAGGCCTTAGCTGTATTTCTTCACCAGCTTTTGTGCATCTAAACACTGATGGTTTGCTTATTTTTCTTTGGAAAACATCTTAACATCTGTCATAAAGATGGAAAACTTTTGAGAATACTATTTTTACTGTCTTCACACATATTCTGAATTGCATTTGGTTCTGCGCTTTGAATGGGCCATTCTAACACAGGAGAATGTTTTAAGCTAATGAGGGTTTTTCTTTTTTTAGAAGCCAAACCTGGTCTTGGTATATTTGCCAATGGTTTATCCTCTTACCCTTTCCCTGGTGATTGGTTAAGCAGAGCTCTGTGAGATGTTTAAAGTTTTGGGAATTGCTTTAAAACTTTAAAGGACAGACACTCACAGTTCATTTTGTCTAGTTCAGATGGGTCCTGGTTTCAACCTAATTTTGCCTTCAGTACTTCCTTACTTTTGTGGAGAAATTATCATCTTGACTGTATTATCTGCACATCCATGTTTAAAATTTCGTTTTGTACGATGACTGTGCTCTACTGAACAGAGATCTTCTGACTTTTGTGGCAATTGAAGTACAAGGAACGTGCGATGCTGTTTAAGATAATCTGACGTTTGTGGACAGTGTACCATCCTACTGGAAGATGCCATCAAAAGAAGATGAGCATACTGTGGTTCTTAGGTGTTGGACATGGTCAGCATCAGTACCAAGCACAGGCGACACCATGGCCACACTCTTTATGTCCATTTCTGACCCTTCCAGTTAAATTCTGGAATTGAATTTGAAATAAAACAAGAAACATTTTTTTCTAATCTGCTATTGTCAAATTTCATTGCGCCTGTCAGGAATATTGCCTCTGGATGCTGTTCTTTGAGGAGAGTTGCACCTGGTGGGGTCCTCTGCTGCTGTGGCCCATTTCTTTCAAGTCTTGTGTTCAAAGTAGGTTGCTATGAGAGGTTACCAGGGACACTGTTACCTTTCTGTCATGTAAAAGGTTGTTTCATTGCTTTTTAAAATCCACACAACCAAAAACAAATTGGATATTTCACCCCTTCAAGCCTGTATCTGGATGTGAATTAAGGATCCAGTACATCATTTGTCCTTTAAATTTCCAGACCAGAAGCAGCAACCATCTTAGTAATACCACAATAATACCATGTTACATTTTTCTCATATTTTTTTTCTCTCTTTCTGGTTCTTGGTTGGACATTTATCAAGTAATTTTTTCCCAATCTAGATATTGAAATGAGCAACTAATTATATTTGTATGAAAATGCTTGTGACTGTGTGTATCTCATGGCTCTAATAAAAAATGTATTTGTTCTTCAATGAGGATTTTTTTGGGGGCTGTTCTGCAGAAGTTCCTCCAAATTAAATGCAGATGCAGTGATAAAGTCCTGCCGCAAGATGGCGACCAACTAAAACTCTGGCCACAAACTGGACACGGAGTAAAAAGGTTTTGTTAAAACTAATTTAAACTTTTTAACTTCTTGTAATAATTAACTAACCTTTTAACATATTAACAGGTAAATTAAAAAGTTTCTGCAGAGACCTTTCCACTGATATTTTGCTCTCAATTCTAGTTCTTCTAAAGCTTTTATTGAGAATAGTTTCATAGGACTGCCTGGTGTAAGTGTGCACAGCTAATTCTGGAATAATTACAACATTTGGCAGAGATATATTTTTCAAGAGTTGTAAAATTGCATAATCAAAATTGCTAATTGATTGCAACATTTTATGATGATGTTCTAACCAAGGCTGCCTTATAAGTTATTGCAGATGTTTATCCTGGAACACAGAATGGCTTTATTTTTACCAGTAGAAAGAAGATTGTTTTGAGCATGGTTAAATGTTAATGAAACCTTTGTGTGTGCAGAGGCCCCAGGCTCCCCACCACCAGACATTCATTTCTGAAGTTATGACCCTGGGGAGAGAGGGGCCCTTACGTTCAAAGCTGACCAGAGAGGCAAAAAAGGAAAAAAAAAAACACCTCTGCAGGCCGGTTCTGCTCCCTCAGAGTCATAAAACAAAACAGAACAGCAAAATTTAAATCCCCTCCCCAAGCCTGAGACCCTTTAACCCTTTGTTCCCGTCGGCCTCTCCACAGACAGATGAGCCTCAACATCCGTGGCAAATCGCACATGGAAGGAATCCAGATCTAAAGAATTCCTGTTGGGGTTCCTTTTCAGGGGGTTCACATTGGAGCAAGTTATATTTCACTTAGACAGGTACCCCTCGGTCAGCTGTCAGCTCCACATAAATACTCTGTGTTTCTGTGTTAAATCTGTTCCAGATGGGCAGTAAAGTCAGGTCACTTGGAAGAATGAAAAGACTGGTAACATGTTTCCTAATAGCACTAGAGTTAGTCTTGTCTGTCACAGCAGCATCAACTGCTCCCAGCTCATAAGGTTTAAAATTATCAAGTCAGGTCAGCAGAAAACTGTTGAATTCAGGTCAAATAAGGTGTTCTTTTCATGAGAATAAAGTTTGGTTTGATCCAAAAGAAGCCTTAGGCATCTATATGAAAACCTTGGTAAATTAACCGCTAGGGCCAATGAAACAGAGTATTATTTTTTCTATAAAATAGAATAAAATCATTTATTTATCCCTTACTGAGTAAATCTCCAGGTTTAAACAAATCCTAGACTTCATTTAATCAAAAACAAATGTTGGAAATTAATGTAAAGTAAAAGATTTAATAGATTTTTTAAAGAGGAAAACGTATATATTAGCAGACATTTAGTGTCCTGAGCAAGGAAACCCTGAGAATTTAGATTTAATAGTGTATTCTTTTAAAGGGCAGAAAAGCTGCCTCTACCAATCCAAATTAGAAGCAGCATGAAAACATGCAATCTGGTTTCAAAAGCTCCTAATTTAAACTAAAAGAAGTTCTGATTTAGCTTACCTAAAGCAAATTGTCTAATCTCATTGTGTTACACTTATAAATAAAAAGTGCATATGGTAATATCTAAGGAGACGTTTCCTGGGTGGCGTTAACAGCAGAGAGCTTCAGTGTGCATCAAGGTCAAAGCTTTTGCTTGTGTTTCTGGGGAGCTACTGATGAACATATTTGCTGGGAAATGGGAACAACAAAAGAAAAAAAAGTCTGATATAATGTTATATGTTCTTATAGCTTAACTCTGCATTACTATGTGATTTCCTGAGTTCCCCTGCACATCGCCCTTGGTTGAGTCTTATTTGTGTCGTAGTCGAAGTATTAAGAAGGAATTTTTCCTCCAGCCCTGGGAAAAGCTGAATTAAATCCTTTTCAAATGCAAAATAAAGAGGGATCAATTTGATTTTTTATGGCATATATGTTTTAAGACTTAATGGGAATTGCTTTTAATGTTCAGCATGAAAAAGAGACAGATAGAAAATGCATTAGACTGAGAAATTTCTTGTATTTCTTCTTTCCCAATGATGCCCCTGCTGTGGGGTGGATACGCATAGACACAAATGTTTATAAGGCAGAAATATAACTCCAGCATTATATCATTAATGTATATAGGGTTCTGAAAGGACCTCTGTGAGCCAAAGGTAAGCTGCAATCCACTGTGTTATTAACCACAGAGCTAATTATGTAAACACAACACAGTTTAAATAATAGTTGAGAACAGGGGCGCCTCTAGACATATAGCTGCTCCTGGGCACAAAATATGATAGCCTATAAAGTTGATATATTTTCAGTAATCTTTTTCATTTACACTTTTGCTAGAAGTATGTTTTCCAAAATCTAAATCTCAGGCTTTACATTTTTCCTATGACATTGTAAAATTATACTTTTTGATTCCGATTAGTATGTCAAATCTAAATAGTGTAATCCAGTTGTGTTGGCGTTACAAGCAATGAAATGTGCATTAAAATGTTCATTAAATCACTATGTATATGTTTTTCTAGATATAACTTTAGGTTAATTGAAATAGTAAGATGGATTATTGTCTGGCTTCTTAAATTAAGCAAATTATTAAATTGATTTAAAAAAAAGATTTTGAATGAATTTTAATTAGTTTTCAGATCTAAAGCACATGATTTTAGTGTTGAATAAAACAAGATCATTATGGTGCATTTTCATTAAGGGCTAAATCAACATTCTAGATAGTTTTTAGCACCTTTAATCCAACATCGCTTCCATTTTATAAGCTTTTACATTAAAATGGAAATCTATACAACTTTTTCTTTCTTTCACCAAAGAAATGTTCATTGATTGTTTTCCCTATGGTGACAACATTTCATTGAAATTAATACAAATATATGTGTTTAGGAAAAGATTATCATGCAGCATTTTATCCTTATTTGACTGAAAGGAACATTTTAAGTTAAAGGAACTACCTTGCTTTTTACCTATTATAAACTGGTTCGAATAAAAGTTCATTGAAATTATTCTTCACACTATTTGTCCATCTTTTTTGAATATCTTTGCAAGAGGTAAAAGAATTTCACGTTTTTTAAATCCCACTACATCAGCAACTCTATCATGGAAAAGGTATTTTAAAGCAAAATCAACAAAAGGTGACGTGTGCTTTATTTTAAAGGACAATGGATCCCCTACTCTCTGTAATAATACCAAATGATGGTGAATACAAGAAAGTCTTCTGCAAGCAACACGAAATTAAAATATTAAGTTCATCCCATACAATAGTTAAAAAAATATTGTTTGGAAAATATATCCATAAAATAAAAGCTTTTAGACATATAAGCATGCAAGACATAGAGCAGGAGCCGCTTCTTCTCTGTAGTCTCTTCAGTATAAAACATCAGCACCGGTTCCCTGGACTGGAGCCATTTAAAAACCGGACTTCACAATAATACTGAGGAGCAGAGTGAAGCGCGCCTCTCCGGGTCTCCAAGGTCTATAAGGAGGAATTAACTGTTTAACACTCACAGTGCCACAGTCCTGTCATATTATATGAGTAAAATTGGAATAAAGCATTTTAATCCAACATTGTGAAAAAATAAAAAATAAATATGCTTCAATAATCAATGGCATAAAAATAGTGGAGTTAAATCTACACGTTAAAAGTCAGATTTCTGTCCGTTTTTTCCAGCTCTTTTCTATGTTGGTCGAGCCAGTCTCTGAGCTCTGAGATCCGGTACCCTTCAGGTCCCCTGCCGCCTTGGTAGACCACTTTCCCAGCCTGCACTATGTAGAGTCTGTTAAAATAAGCCCCATATGCTGCGCTGGAGGTGTTCTGCATGTTGTCCGCCACTACCAGGCAGCCGGGCACCTCCAGGTGGATCAGGTGCGCTGCGCTCAGCCTCTCCTCCAGACACCGATGCTTCGGGATCTGATAAGGAGCGTCAGTGCTCGTCCAGCCGTCTGATGGATGCGCTTCCTCGATATAAACCACCACGGTGTCCGCTATATCCGCGTTCTGTTGCGCGACCTCCTGGAAAGCCCTCAGGCGCGCCATGAACGGCGGTCAGGTGCAGCTGCCGAAGTTGAGGATGAGCGCTCTGTCGCCCTGTGCGCAATCCAGGATCCGGGTGCGCCGCTGGTCCTCCAGCCAAACAACTTCGGTGTTGGGCGCTCTGCCTCCGAGATGTGCCGCTTTCAGAAAGTCCAGTTTCTGGCCGTGCCAGACGGCCTTCAAGGACTCCAGGCTGAACAGGCGGTTGGAGTCGGATATGCATAGAGGTGGATCAGTGGCATCGCCTCCCTGCTCTTTCATCCTGAGGAAAAACCTTTTCCTGATACATAAAAAGTCCAGCAGCCAGAACAAAACAGCTGCCAGGAGAAAACGGGGCAAAAGGACAAGACAAACTGCGGCGTTTTTCATAGCTTTAACAGTATTCATCATCACTTTCTGATGATAACCTGGACAGCCCTACGCTGTGCCACGATAGTGTGAGTTTAAGTTAGGTTACTTCGATCTCCCGCCCCTTTTTATAGCTTTGGCACATTTGAATGAATCACAGCCCGCCTCCAAACAGGGGCAGAGGCCTCACATGGCGGGGATTACCTTCTGTCATCCCAACACTGTAAATCTACACGATGCAGGAAATGATGTGCCATTGCATCACCCAGCCATCAGAAGAAAAACAGTGAAAAACAGGTTTTAGAAATGACTTTATTCTGACCCTACAGATGGGTCATGATTTATCCCAAAAAGTTAAAATCTTAGACTGATTACATGCAGATTCACTGATTTCAAGGGTTTTTTCCTGCTTACTTTGTAGGTTATGTCCTATGGCTGATAAATACCCAACATTCACTAACAAAATTCGATTATCAAGAAAAAATATTTATACTGGTAGGGTTTCTATCTATTAAAAAAAATATATTTTTTTTCGCTTCTCAAGTTTTCATTTCACTTCAGTTAAAAACGTTTTATTGCAAAGGGAAATTAAATGCTGTTTGCAATGGACAAATAGGATCTCCTGAGTAAAAGTGCTGCAAAAATTATGAAAGCAGTTTTCAAAAAAGCCTACTCTTACTTGGCTAATCAGGCTTGGGTGAAAATTCCTAGGGGAAGCCTAATTCAGCCTCACCTCTCATCCAATCAGCCTCCGCTGCTGCTGCAAGACTATCAGCCCTGTTCTCGCCCCTGCCACAGTCAATCATCATCTCTAAAACTTTTCTGTCAATGGAATTTCTGCTCCATCAAGCTGCAATCCTCCTCCAAACCATCTCTGCTACCATCCTTGTTTTCATCTAGCTATTTTCCTCCTTCTGTCTCCATTCCACCACTAGTGTCAGGCCTCTGGGGTGAAGAAGCAGGCTACTTATCCTAATTCATCTGCTCAATCATGAAATCATAATTATCTATGCTCACGTTCTTCCACCAGTGCTTGAGTGCCAAAGGGGATATTTCTCTTTTCAGTAAAACTCTCTAATTGTTGTTTGTCTTCTGTGAGTCTTTCTAGGTTGAATTATTAGTTAAACAGCTCTTCAATAAATTTGTTCACAAGTAGACACAAGACAACCGCAATGGGGATACTAAAAAAACTTTACTGGGGTGGATAAAAGATTTTCTGATGCTTAATGGAAAAGTCCGGTCATATTCAGATTTCAAACTTCTGAAAGTACTTTCAATATGAATTTTTTACATACTGTTCAATAAATGATAAGTGTTTTTAATTAAAAGTGATTTCAACTGACTGTAATTTACTGGAGACATCCATGTTTGTCAAAGAATAGGCTACTACTGCCACCTACTGGTTTGTGACGTCACGGTGCGGTATCGGCTGTTGATCAAATCCCATTGCTGTATCGGGTGTTTGTCACAACGTACTATTATCAAAGTCATCTTGAAAACATTCTACTTCGAAATGTTGGCTACATATTACGTGCTTTTTCTCTGCTCAGAAGTTCGATGGCAATTCCTCCCCGTCAAGTTGGCAATCCAACGATGAACCCGTCCGTTTTTACCCGATGTATTCCAACATCCGACTGCCATGCACGTGGGCATTGCCAGTTTCACTATAGCTCTGGTGAATTTCAATGGTGAAGTCTTCTGGAAATCTTCAATAATTGTTGTTGATTGCAAATGTGTCAAGTAGTTCCCATTGATTTTGCTTGTAAAGCGGGGAGAATGGCGCTAGGCTTACCGTACCGTGATGTCACTGCCGGAAGATGTCAGGAGTGAACAAAAATGGCCATGCAGTGATCGTGACGAAAATTATTTTCATTATTTTACTGATTAACGCTAAATTCATTATTAAGTATTAGTTTTAGGAATAAATAATGATCCATTGATTATTCGCTGACTGGACTTTTCGTTTAATATGGTCCCAGTGGTATCACTGCTGTCACCATCAGGCTTAGTGGGGAACTGCTTGTTACAGCAGTTCCCCGGGTGCCGCATAATGGCAGCCCGATGCTCCCCATGGGGATGGGTTACATGCAGAGAGTTAATTTTGTTGCATTATACTTGTGACATTGTAATGACAATAAAGTTGAATTCTATTCTTTTCTTAAATATTAGGGAGAATATCCGTTCTTTCTTGCCCCCAAAACAATTACACATTACTTTTCAAGGTGCATAGAGGGAAATTTTGATCCACTACTTTTTCATCCAGTAGATCAGCGTTGTTTTTGACAGCCATCTTAGATTCAGCCTTAGTTTTAGTGTTCAGGACGAAAAATTTATATAAATTTATATAATTTAAATACATTTTTAAGAATTAACGCTCTACTTTATGAAAAAGTGTCTCACAAAAGTTGTGAAAATAGCAGATCTAGTTCGACACATTATATTGGTTAAAATAACAGACAAAATGTACAATAAAGGAATGGTTTTAGACTTACATTCCATCCCAAAACAAATACTTCCTGATCTACAATGAAATATGTATTACACACAGATCAATAAAATCTTAATCACTCCAAAAAAGCAAAGTACAAAACCATTGTTCTTTTTACTTTTGGCCTTGCGATACCATGGCAATCCAGACCTAAATTTAATGAATATGCTAACTAATATGTTGAAATATTCAATGTTGTGATGAAAATACAAGGAAACTTTTACATCATATTTGAATAGATAGAAGCGAGAACTATGAGAAAGAAATATTGAAAGATCTATGTACCTTTTCACCTGGGTCTTTATCCAAAAATAAACAGTATGCAATGAAATATTTTCTTTGGATATAATTTAGTGATTTCTTATGGTAGAAATGAAAGAAGGTTTAGCATCACCACTTGTGAGCTGGAAGAAATAAAGATTTAGTAGTAAGACAAAGGGATTTTTAAAGCTTGGCAGAGGATGATCAGCCACATAGTTTATTAGGTAGTGAGAACAGAAAGAGCCATAATGAGAGTAAACCATCAGCTTGGCTGACTCTGAGGTCAGCAGTGCAAAGACACATTTGTGCACAAGCATAGCTGGAAGCAGAGTTTGACGATATCGGCTTATTTTTACCCCTGTTGCTGCTTCCATGGTCCATGTGGTCATGCAGAATGTGCAATTTTGCTGAATAAAACTGCCCTGAGAATCAATTAAATATTGTTAAGTCAGTGACAATAGATCCTACAATGCGGATGAGCTGAAGGCTGCTGTTGAAGCAACATTTCCTGAACTCCTAAGCAGAAGCATATGCCGTCCAACTCAATGCCATGCTGCTTTGATGCTATGCTGTTCTGCAAGCAAAAGTTCTGGTTCTGACCATTTGCTGAGTTCTAAAAAAAATAAAATAGCTTTTTTGTTTTATCTGTTTGATTTGAAACAGATATAATCTATCTGTCTGTCTATCTGTCCGTCCGTCCGTCCGTCCGTCCGTCTATTATTTTTTACTTGTTGTTTTTTTGGCAGACCTTTGTTTCCCTACATTTCTCCAGTTGAGAAATCTTTAAAAATCTTAAACATTGTGGGTTTCTCAGCTCCTTTTTTATCCAACATATCCAATTCATGTCATTCTTTTGTCAGATTACTGTTATCTCACTTGTCTGGGCTCTAATCAAACAACAAGAAAAGCTTTTTACCCCCTTTAGACTAAAATGTGACTTTTGTACGTAACAAGCCTCTTTCAGAATGAGAAGCTTTTCACAACTTTGCAGTCTGACTAATCATTTATTAGTCTGTTACTTTTCTGGTGAACATTTTGACAAATCTGTCTTTCAGTTCTTTCAAACAGCTTATTTCTTGTCATTTTCTGCCCACTTGCCTCCTCCACAGAGGAACTGGAATAACAGTCTATAATCCAAATCCTATTTCTTCTATGTGCTCAAAAGAATAGAGAGGTGTTTTGATGAGAAAAAAGAAGCTCACCCGCTGTGCCATTTGCATTAAAAATTACTTACTCATTGTTGTGACTGAAATTTACCACCTATAAACTTTGCAGGATTCCTGGCAGCAGCAGCAGGTTTATCTGAGGATAGCTCAGATCCAGGAAAACAGCTTTCTCTCTCTCTCTCTCTCTCTCTTTTTAGGTTGTTTATCAAGACACTGAGCTTCCAGTAACCACAGCTGATGGAAAATAATAAAAAAAGACTGAATCAAAAAACAGATCAGAATGGTAAGTTACTGTGCTGGCCCACTTTCTATCAAATCACTGACATCTCTTTCCTCATGCAGAGCAGTGCTCACTCTGAGTTACCTCACATGACCTCATCTAAATCAAACAGCTCTAGCGTTCATGCTGAATGACTCTCCCTAAGGCTGTTTTTATTGCTGCAGTCGGGGCGTTAGAGAAAAAAAAACAAAGTTGTATGAAATTCGGTTTTATCTTTCTGGTCATGTCACTTCTTGAGAGATGTTCCAGAGTTTGTCTAGGGGAATTGTTTATTTTCTGTTATTTGGTTTTGAGCCTTTTTCCCCTCTGGCTGATCAACAAATAGATATAGTATCTACATATCATTTTTCACATGCAGATACAACTATTATTTTGCATTTTATCAAAACAAGGTATCATAACAAATAAGGGAAAAAAGGGGTGCATGGTTTACAAATAAATAAAAATCTGTGTGGGATGCAAGTGTTTCAAACATCCTGAATAACCAAAGTGGGGGCTGGATAAGCTAGAGATACAGACGTGGAAAAGTTAAAACCATGGGTTAGTTTATAAAATACTATCCCAAGCTTTAAACATCTCACAGATGCTACAAGGGCACAGCCAACTGAAATTCCTCAGTAAAGGCAGCATATGTCTGAGAAACAGCCACAGGATGTGGGTAACTTTGGAGGAGCTGCAGATATCCACTGCTGCCTAAGAACCATGGGAAAGACATCACATGGTGGTAGCTTTATGACTAGCAACAACAGAAAAAAACAAGTCAGTGGTGAGGGAAAAATACGGGGCCGTCCTGGAGAAATACCTTTTAGATACTGTGAGACTAGACTGGAGAAACTACAATGGAGAAAAAACTACATCCAGACACCAATCAAAGTGATTTCAAGGGTAG